TGTGATGACAGCGGCTATATGTGCGGGCGGGGCCGTGCGCGTGTCATCACACGTCATCTGCCGTAAAGGCGTGAATAAAGGTTTCTTCAGCCAGGACACGCGAGGGCGTGATATCCCATACTTATGTGTTGTACCTCTGTACCTCGTTCCTCTCCTTCAGGGAACAGAAGTTATAGACATAACTAATCGTTTGGATGATCTACAGAAGATCCTCCCAAACGTTCCCATGTCATACCTCTACTGATCTCATTGCTCCCAATCAAGTTTAGAATTCAATCTGTGAGCTCAGTGGATTCATTTAGCATTTTATTTGTCCTTATTGTCCCTTTTGTGGTTTTTATTTGATGTGAAGCTCCTTGTGATTTTTATTTTGAATGGCGCTAAGTAAATAAAACTATTCCTATCTCTTACATGTTGTTAATAATTAACACTAGCTTTCATCCTTTACCCCCACAGTTGGAAAGCAGTGTTAATTCATTTGATGTGGAGTCAGTCCTTCACGAACTCTGCGGCTTGCAGGAGTTTCTGGATAAAAACTCTCAGTTCAGTCCCTCCTCTCTCGGTGCTGCAAGGTGAAGCTCCTTACAGATTTGTTTATTCTTATTTTGAGTTAATAGCTGTATTGATACCTCAGAAAGTTGTTAGATATTTTGCAACATTGCCTTCAAATTAAAGAAGTAGAATAATATAAATGTAAAAAGAATGAAAGATTTCCTTCAGTTCAGTGAGCAGAATACATGATGTAACACCAGCTGGGATATAAACAGATGGTTTAACTTTGCTGAATGTTTTAGTCTGCGGAGAACAGTTCAGCTCAGGTGATTAAGGACTGAAAAAGGTATCAAATGAAGTTCTGTTTAGATGAGACGTCCCCTCAAACTAGCTTCTGTTCAAAACCCTCAAAAAACCAAAACACTTTCCTTTTTGATGTTAATACACAAAACAGGATCTGTAGATGCTAAAAAGATAAAAATATACTTCAACAGACTCTTGTTTCCTATCTCTCTTGTATAACATCTGTGTTGTTTCCTCTTATCTTCAGCTCCCCTGCCAACCTGCAGCAAAGGCTGCTGGGATTCATGCGTCCTGATGGAGCCAGCTCTCAGCAGGTTCAGCAGGAACTCCAGAGGAAATATCACAGTGAGTCATGAATACAGGCTTCATTTTTTCCCCTGAATATTTTTTTATTACACTATATATAAATGTGGGAAAGGAAACACAGTGTAAGTTTTTTTTTTTTCCTTTGTCATTTCCGTTTCCAGCCAAGGCTCAAGTCTATGAGAAAGTGTCCCTGCAGGCCATCCAGCAGTTAGTGCATCGCTCATATCAGACTCTGGCCCTCTGGAAGCTTCTCTGTGATCATCAGTTCAGCCTCATTATGTCTGAGCTGCCAAAGGTGCATATGTGCACTGCAAACAGATGCTCATACCCCTGCAGTAAAACCTGGTATTCAATTGAAGCTCCCCGTTGTTTTTGGAGTGCTCCTTTGTCATTCTGCCATTTCTTGTTATTTGCAGGAGTTTCAAGAGCAGATGAAGGGAGCAAGTTTTAAAGATGTTGTGATAAGGGGCAAGGAGTTATCTGGAGCGCTCATCACAGGACTCATTAATGTCTATATCAAAGATAACGCCTCCGTGGATGCTATCAGCAATCACCTGCGCGACATCTGTCCGCTGCTGTACAGCAGCGATGACAGCGTTTGCTCCAAGGTTCGTACACACACCTTTTTTTTTCACCTCTGTGTTAAGTATAGTTACAATTATTGCTGCTTCAGGGGTATCACATTCTTACTTTATTGATGTGTGCGTCTTGTTTTCACATTTCTTATAATCATGGTATTTTTTAAGGCAATGAAGTCTTGTACTAAGAGGTTATTGATTTATCCACATCGATCCATGTGTCTCAGCACTGAATTTGCTCTTGTCCCCCACTCAGGCTAATGAGTTGCTGCAGAGCTCCAAGCAGATCCAGAATAAAGCAGATAAAGAGAGAACACTGAGAGAGTCTTTACGGCTCTACCAACAGATCAGCCAGCACACAGACCTCCCACTTGTTTGCTCCCAGTACAGACAGGGTAAGGAGATGCAAGACATCTCCACTATCTCTGTTTATATATATATACTGTTTGTGAGATTTATTTTCTAACGCTGCTTCTCTTCTCAGTGCGTTTCTACGAGGGAATCCTGGAGTTGTGTCTCACTGCGGCAGAGAAGAAGGATCCACAGAGGCTAGGGCCTCATTTCTACAAGAATGGAGAACCTGAGCAGGACAGAGTGGGACAGCAGGCCTTCCAGGAAAGGTAGAAGAAGCCTTAAATAAATCACCCACATCAGAGATGTAGTCATCACCGTTCTTTATCTTTGCTTTTTAAACCTCCAGACTTTCATGTTATAAGTGCATCACAGACACCATGCAGGAGCTGGTGAACCAGAGCAAAGCTGCCCCACAGTCCCCCAGTGTCCCTAAACAGCCCGGTCCTCCTGTCATGACCTCTGACCCCAACATGCTCAGCAATGAGGAAGCGACAGCTCATGTGAGTAGGAGTTTCTCTCATTTCTTTCTGCTGCGCTGTGTATCATCTTCATTTCTAATAAAAATCTGTTCCTGTGTAGTTTGAGCAGATGCTGGGTTTGGCCCAGAGGTCTCAGGACGAGCTGTTTCACATTGCGCTCTACAACTGGCTGATTCAGGCCGACTTGACTGACAAGCTGCTCGAGGTACTGTCTGCTTGTTCGTAAATGTTTTGTTTCAGTAAAGCTTGTTTTACCTTTTCATTTTTCTTTCTCTTTTTAGTTGGCAGACATCGGTTCTTACATCAGTTTAGATCAGGGGTGGGCAATTCCAGGCCTCGAGGGCCGGTGTCCTGCAGGTTTTAGATCTCACCTTGGGTCAACACACCTGAATCACATGATTAGTTCATTACCAGGCCTCTGAAGAACCTCAGGAGCTAATTTAGCCATTTAAATCAGCTGTGTTGGTTCAAGGACACATCTAAAACCTGCTGGGACACTGGCCCTCGAGGCCTGGAGTTGCCCACCCATGGTTTAGATTCTATTTTCAACCAGATTTTATTGCCCCAAACATAACAGCTAATATACATGGAAGACAGGTGCTGCGAAAAGCTGAAATTTATAAGGGAACAAATGAAAGGAAAAAATAGTTTCTTTAAATTCAAATTAATCAAGTAATGAATTAATTTCTAGTTTTAATTTGTTTGTAGATTATTATTTAGATTTTTAAATAAAGCTCCTCATTTATTTGCTTTCCCAAATGACCTTTCTATTTATTCATGAATTTTTCACATCTCCTTTTTATTGATTCAACCAAAGCTTTTGCATTCAAAGAAATTGTTTTATGAAAAAAATATATAAATGAAGATGTATAAAAATCAACTGGTATGTAAAAAAACTAGGAGAATTAAAACCGATTTAAATACTTATCAAGGCAAGTTGAAACTACATTAAAAAAAATAAATAAAAATGTTTGATTCCTAAAATGTCTTTCACTTGACGTAAAACTACTAATGTACATAAAAACTCCCCTAAAATAATAAAAAAATGAATAGAAAAATGTTTAAATCTAACATTTTACTGCATATTCAGTGTTGTTTTACTCTGATTCTTGCAGTTTTATTTTTTACACCTCCACACATTTGTGTATGAACAAATTGAAGATGCCTTTTGGCATTGTCATGGTGATTGCACACCAGTATATGATACCCGTGTTTGTCCCTGTGCTCTGGGGTCCAGGTGAATTCTCCATACTTGGAAGAACATCTGATGCATATGATCAAGCAGGACCAGAGTAAAGTTCATAATATGGACCTCCTGTGGCGCTACTACGAGAAGAATCGTAACTTTGGCAAAGCTGCCCACGTACTGGCCCGCCTCGCCGACATGCACAGGTTCGGACACAGCAGTACAATGCCAACGCCACAACATGCAACACATTTACATGGAAAATTGGCCACCTCCAACACTGACTCCTTCAGCAAGTGTATACGTTATATTCAACTTATTAAAAAACAATTTAGAAAAAGTACCTTGATGTTTGCACTCTGATCATGTAGCACGGAGATCTCACTGAAGCAGCGTTTGGAGTACATCGCTCGAGCCATCCTGTCTGCGAAGAGTTCATCCTCTATCTCAGCTCAGGCATCTGATGGAGAGTTCCTCCATGAGCTGGAGGAGAAGATGGAGGTAACCCTGACGTTGTAACGCTTACAGTGAAAGAAATCCTAGCCTGAAATTCAGCACATTCTGCTCACGCTCCGTCTACTTCCTGTCTGCCATAGCTTGTGCGTATCCAAGTACAGATACAGGAAACCTTGATCAGACAGTACTCCCATCATCCCTCTGTGAAAAATGTCATCTCTCAGTTGGACTCGGAACTAATGGACATCACAAAGGTAACGTGCAACTGTGGAACAGAGAAGAGTGTTTTTAGGAGTATTTTAACACGCTAGCCCTAATTTAAAGGTGATGGATAAAGAGTTTTGTTTTTACAGTGAATAGAAATTTGTTTGTGGAACTGTTTTTGTTGCATAGCTCTATGGAGAGTTTGCCGATCATTTCAAATTGTCTGAATGCAAACTGGCCATCATTCACTGCGCTGGACACTCTGACCCGATCCTGGTGCACTCGCTGTGGCAGGAGATTTTGGAGAAAGGTGAGCGAAATGTCAACATCCTGCAAAAATGCAACCTGGGACCCCCCCCCCCCTCTCTCTCACACACACACACACACCCTTTCTGCTTTATATTTATGTATTTTTTTGCATGCTTTATATCTCACTTATGCCTCTTCTCTCTTTCAGAACTGGAAGATACTGTGGCCATGAGTCCAGTAGATAGAATGAGGTCTCTTAATCTGAAGCTGGTATCGCTTGGAAAGATTTATGCTGGAACACCGAGATATTTCCCTTTGGGTAAGCTGTAATTACATTGAGTTTTAGTCTGATTAAAATTTGCCAGCTTGCACTTTAAAATTTTGTCAACAGTAATATAATTGGAGTTCCCTTTAGCATCATTTATGTCAGCATGTCTCTGGTGTGCAGGTCTGTAGGGTCATGTTGGTGATTAAGGCAATTGTTTAATTATCCTCCTTTTTATAACCAGCATGTTCAAGCTTGTCATGCCTATGGAGGCATTTATTAATTTTATATAAATCATCGGTACTTGCATGCATGCACATAATCAATTACGTACCCGGGAGTGAACATATTGCTGAGTATGCGATGCTAAGGAGCTGATGTGTCCTGTGATTGCAGAGTTTCTAGTAAAGTTCCTGGAGCAGGAGGTTTGCCGGCTCAACTGGGATGTGGGATTCGTTACATCCACTATGCAGGAGATTGGAGTGCAGTTGCCACGTCTGTTGGAAGTCTATGACCAGCTCTTCAAAACTCGGGTACATGCAGTGCCCTGTGACTTTTTAAGCTGAACTTTCTTTTAGTCTGTTCAGTAATGATCCACCTATCTCAATGAATCCAAAAACCAACCCTTTGTTTGTTTGTTCCTAAATTTTTCATAGGATCCTTGCTGGCAACGTCTGAGGAAACCGCTTCATTTAGTGGAGTGTATCCATGTACTTCTCTCAGGATATGTAGAAGACCCCAGCAGGGTACCAACTTATGACAGGTAATTACGGTCTGTTCAGCTCCTGGCCTGTAGTGGCTGCTGTAGTGTTCACAGCATTAACCTAAGGTCCCCAGTGAGCATTACTATCACAACTGTTGCCATCAGTCAGTGTGTAAGCTGATTATTTTATTTCTTTTAGAGACGATACACATTCATCAACATTACTGTACATGTGCCAGTGTTGGTTAAATCTCTGTTGAACTTTTGTCCCCTGGACAGATGTTGAAAGGAAAAAAAGCACACTGTTTAAAGCCATTTAAAAGTCGATGAAAATGAACCATATACAATAAAAACCACTAATATTAAATAGTACTGGAATAGGGAGTTTAAGTTTGCGCAGAGGCAGTTAAAACACAATCACTTAATCTCTCTTGTACTACAGATGAACCTGTGAAACTTTAACCGAGATTACATACAAAGAAGTCATAAGAGGCATGTTTTGGTTTACTCAGAACTGAGAACCTCTCAGGCCCAGATTATTCTCCATTTTGGACAAGGACAGCTGCAGCTCCGATGCACGAGCAGGCATTCCTGTAGTCTTCCTTCTGGTAGTCTGCTGGCTATGCACATGTGTAGTTGGTACGTTAAAATATAAATTCTCCAGGGACGAGTCTGGCGAGACATTTACACCGGAAAGTATGATCTTGGTTTATTTTCAAGACTTTAGATAAAATCTTAAGCTAAATTTTAAATGCTGTGAGCACAGGAAGAAAGTGCTTAAAAAGCGTAACAGAGAGTAATGACGCTGAACATTTTTTTTTTAGTAAGTGAATACATTTTCTAATTTTACACCAAAAATAGAAAATGTATTAAATGTTCCATAAAAGGAGCAAAATGATCACGCTTTAAATACAGGTCTTATCTTGATCACACTAGTGTTTTTTTCCCCCCCCTCTTCAGTGTGATGCATTTTTGCTGTTTCTAAGCAACAGATCATGCCCATCATGCCAGCTCCCAGCAGGCAGTCAGATACCGTGGACAAACATGTAAAACCTCACCTCGTTTGGCCACGTGTGATGTTTAGTTTGCACTTTGATCATTTCTCTGTGATTTATTCAGGTCAGAGTTCACTAAGACTATATGAAGCATCCCATTTCCAAACATTGTAAAGTTGTTTTTGTTTTGTTTTTTGCAGACGTCGCTTCACTAACGTGTGTCTTGACAACATCTGCGGTTACCTCGTGGAGCTGCAGTCCCTGAGCCCAAACTCTGTCCTTCAACAAACCATCGGCAACTTCAAGTCCCTGCAGGCAAAGCTGGAGAAACTCCACTGATGTAACTGTGGTCAAGAGACGGGTGACTTGTGGGTGTTGGCCTTAAGTGAAAACTGCTGATTTAAAGTGTGTTTACATTGTCAGCAAAGGACAATATGATGATGACGTTTGTATTACAAAGTAGAGTTTGGCTCTTTTTTTCCCCTCCAGTTTGTTTTGCAGCTTGGAGAGACAGGTTTTTATAACTTATTTGATACATTTTGTTAGTTTAAACATTATGCAGAAATACAACCTTGGAAAGAATGACTGTTATTTGCATTGTGTGCAAATAACAGTCATATATCTAAAGATGAGAAGACACTTTTTTCATCACAAATATGAAATCCCTTTAAATTTTACAGCTTATTGGTTATAGTGGAAATGCAGTTATGTGATGGTTGATTTTTCTGGTAAAATGTCCCCAACTGAAGCCATTTCTTCACAGGGGAATGATTTTGATTGTTCTATTGCCTGTCTGCAAACAGTTTAGTTTTATATGTTGTAATTATGTACATAACTTGGCCATAATGCCGTCGTTTCTGCCACAAGTCATTTACACATTTCATTTTATTATTTACAATGAATGTTTTGTCTGCTTGGGCGTTAGATTTAACGGTGCCATTGTGTGTGAGTGCTTTTTTTGTGATTGTTTTGAAAGCAGAACGATTTTTTAACTCTGCAAACTTTGGCCCACTTGGAAGAAAAATAAATAAAACTCATTTTTAATGAAATAAAACAGAACTTTTGAGGATGTTTTCAAAACACTACACAGAAACTAGACACGCACGTGTTCTTGGTTGAGATATATCTGTGTGAAACTCTACAAATGATCAGCAGAAAGGGGCATTTAATTGCTTTGGGTGGATGTGACACTGTTTACATAATTATCTTTAATTGACTCCCTCACTCATGCTTTCTTAGAAACATCAACCCTACAAGGCAGTAATTGCTAAATTACAATTAGCTGTGTGTTGGAGTACACAATTGTGTTTTGATTCTTAGCCTCATGAGAAATAAACAGATGTTGAGTTGAAATAAACAGATGTTGGGTTTATTTTTGTTTATTTGGTTTATTTTTGTTGGTATACTTGCACACGCTCCAGTATAGTAAGCCATGCATAATGTCTGTGAGGGAAAATGTCTGAAGGTTTGCATCTGTTTGCATCTGTTTTCCTAATGCTTGAATGTTTTTGTAGAAACCTTAGCCAGAACAAATACAGGGTTTTCCTGGAGTATGTGTAAACATTTTCCATTTGATTGTTTTAGACCCATGATTGTCAGATATGTGTTTTTATAGCTGAAAAGTAGCAAACTGAACATATGGCAAACTGTTGGTACAAGCAAAAAGCCATCTTTTATTTGTGACGATGTAATCTCAGATACAATAAAGATGACAGTACCTTCTGTTAAGCGTACAACCAGTCACAGTGAAACTATTCACACTCTGTCACTCTGAAATTACCAGAGAGCTTGTTCTAAGTAGGTGAGGGCCACTTGTCATATTGAATTTTCTGCTCTTTAAATGATAGTCAGGAGGTCTTGAAGATATCGTGCTTCTCTCAGAGGTTTAGAGGCAACTGTGGGCATTGCAAAGCCGTCGAAAAATTTGCTTAAAATAGGTCTGAGTTCTGACTCCTCTGTCCTCTTTGTAAAACGGTGTGCTGACCGATTTGGATCTAGCCTTTTATAGTGCAGGAGAAATAAAATGTATAAATAAATGCAGATGAATAAACAGTGAAGCGGTTTGATATAATGTGTTGGACAGCTGAGTGAAAAGAGAGTACACTGAGGCTCAAGAGAAAGAGCTGGGTGTCTTTTTATCTTTTTGATGAGCAAGTGAGTTTTTTCACTCCGTGCAGGAAGATGTAGGGAATGATGCACGTGTAGGAGGCTGCGATGTAGCTGGACACCTCCACTACTATTGATGAAGTGTGGATGTTGTTAGTAATGTGCAGAAGCAAATGAGTCAGCCAGCATACCAGCACCACGCTGGCTACAGCCACCACGCTCTTGGCAGCTCTCACCTGAGTGCTTGAGTTCGGATGGGGTTTAGATGGTATCTGAGAGGGCCTCGAGAGATTTGGCTGAGCTCCAACGCTGCAGTTCTGGGGAGCATTGTGGAGACTATGGCCCGATGGCTGTCGGTTTGGAGAGGAAGGAGCAGGCACACCTGTATAAATGTGGTTTGTAGATGTAGAATCTCTGAGATCTTTTGAGGTGGTTGGACCAGAGATGATGCTGACCGATGCCTTGTTGCGTTTGCTCTCAAATCTCTTTCGTTCCTCTTTAACCATCTCCTTGGTTTGATCAGAGTTATGACTCCTTATACGTTGGTGGTTTTGAAGCAGAGTGATGACAATCTGGGCACTGGCGAATACAATCCCAGCCATAGGTAAAGCGTTAGCCAGGGTTAAATAAATTGCTTCATATATTTGCCTAGCATTTGGATTAGGGAAGATCTCTATGCAATCTTCGTGGCTGTCATTTGCCACCTCCAGTGTGAAGAAGAAGAAGTGTGGGACGCTGAAGACCACAGCCACCGTCCAGCTCCCAGCAAGCAGACAGCCCACGAGGCACAGGCTGTCCATCTGCACCGGTGCGCCGCCTCGTTTCAGGGAGCCGACCAGCTTCTGGTGCCAGAAAACACTGATGAAGAAGGTTGTAAAGATGCTGCTGGTTTCAGAGAGGCCAGCACAGAAGCAAAACACTCCACAGTAGGTCTTCCCCAGGAACCATCGCCCAGCAAAATCTGCCATGGTGTCAGGCAGGTCCACCAGGTAGTTGGTGATGAGGTTGGAGATGGCCAGATTGATGAAAAGGACCTCGTTTGTGCGGATGCTGGATTTGTGCCTGGGCAGGGAGCATATAGCCAGCCAGTTGTTTCCCAGGATCCCTGCAATAAACATGAGTGCTCTGATGATGGCTTCAATCAACCCTTCCATTGTTTCACAAGATCAGGCAACAACTTGTCAGCCTTTAGATCAGTGTGGGAGCTTCACAACCTTTATATAATCTGAGGAGGATGCTGTTAGCTTTAGACATTTATAGAGGAGGGGAGAAATGGCCCAACCCCATGGAGCTTTCATTGTGCAGTCCCACTGAGATGGACGTGTGTTTCTCATATCATGCCTTCCCAGGAAACTTCCCCTGGTAGATTAAAACACAGAAAGAGGTAAATCCAAAGCCAAATCTGAAAGTTCAGTGAACAAACAGTGAGATTAAAGGGCCAGCAGCCAAAGCTGTGAGTCCTCTGATAATTGACATGTATGGAGACAAAGAACAGAAACACTCAGTCATCCCCGGGCACCAAATGCATAATTTCCCAACAATCCAAGTAAAGCTTGTTCAAAGACATGTGAATGGAGCTCTGACCGAACGAATTCCTGCCAGCAGTTGAGAGTTTATCGGCACTAATCTTTGGTGCGTAGGAAATCATGACAAAAGTGTCCTAATTATCATCTTTTGTACTGTAGCTAGACTTTGTGATTTTCTCCATGATTTTTTTTTAACGATTAGAGAAGGAACATTGTCCTTTTAATTTTACAAAGTTTCTGCCTCTGCCTGCTAAATCTTGAAAATATAACTGTTGTGCATCCTTAAATCTTCTAATCCCTTGGTCTTCCTGGTTAAACCACAGCAGGGGCGTGTCTGGTGGGGTAGAGGTGGCACCAGCCCCTCCCCCCAGTTTTTAAAGATGTATTTTTTTTTAATCTGCTGATAAATTGCATTATTATAGCTCAAATTACTCAGCAAGAAACTAAGATAATTGGTTACAAAGCTAAAATAATACAGTGTGCACGATTTTGAAAATTGCCCCTACACATACTCATTATGTGGAATGACACTTTTGCGCATGTGGTCCTTTAAACAAATTTTTATCGTAGATATAACGACTAAATGCTGGGTTTTTTTTCACTTTACAAATCAATACAAAATGATTGCCACTTTAACGTAATAAATCTGTAAAAGGACACAGGGCACAATTAATTTCTGATTATTGCGATTTCCGGGACCCGCTCCCTCACGCCCTCTCCTGCCTAGTGGAAACACCCCTGAAAAGCTTTCAAGACAAGGCAAAGAATTTTTTAGTGAATTTTTTAAGTGAAAATGAACGAATTTCTTAGGAACCACGCACCAGTAAATAACTTACTAACTTCATCACTGCAAACCCTTCACCGATCTTATTTCAGTGGTGTTATTAAGCACTGGTATGAGCAGCAGTGGTCATGTGCAACAATGGTGGGAGAACTGGAGGAAAAGAAGTAGTTCATGAGATCACAGCAGGGGGTCTCAGTCGGCCAAGTGTAGTAGTGCTTCACGTCATTGATGAGTAAAAGCACCACCTTTGGGACAGACGAGAGGCGGCATCTGTGCGCTGCTGGCGGCCGGGACAGACCAACCGGGACGCAGGAGTGAGGAGCGGCTCTGCGGGCTTTTATTTGTATTTTGTTTTTTTGAGCTTTCGGGCTTTTTTTCTTCTTCCTCACCCCTTAACTATGATTGTCGTTTCTCGGCGTTTTGCGATTTATGAAGGGCTTTGCAAACAAACCAGCAGGGACTTTTGCGGTGTATTCGCCGTGCGTTTCGTCGGTATGAGACACTGATGAGCGTGGAGAGGACAGGATGCCCGCCAGCGGCGCCGACTCGCTGAAACCCAGCGCCTTCATCCCGGTGTGCACGGCCGCCTGCCTCCTGGTCGGCTCTTCCTCCCTGTTCTTCGTCTTCACGTAAGTACGAAAGAGTCACGGGAAACTGGTGTTTTACTGCACGGATCATTCAGCTGAGCCATACATTCAGACACCTGTCATCCACAGCTACTAAATATCAAATAGATATGTTTAAGCGTTAGAAAAATATCACACATACCCCCAGTGTCCTCTCTGGCACAGCTAAAGATTATTAAACTGAATGCAATTTACTCCACTTTTACTCTCCCGTTTTTAAATTAACATTTTATTTTGAAAATCCAAGAAGCTGTTAAAAAAAGAGCAAAATTTCCTCTCCTTTTCACTGTCTTCACTCTGCTGGCAGACCCGCCGGGGCTGCTAACATCTGACCTGGTTAGCTGGCAGTTTGGACTTGGGTCTGGGTGCCTGCCCGGTGCACCCTAAGGACCCAAGTGTGAGCACAGTTACTTTACGGGATAAGCCACCCACAATCAGCATGTCTCAGTGTGTCACCGTGACCCATATGTGTCATAAATTTAGCTAAAGGAAATCAAAAGAGGCTACCCCTCTTGCAAAAGCCCTGGAAATTCACTGCAAGGTTTCTCGCAATATGTGATAAACTAAAGAAAATATAGTTTTAAATATGCAATAGAGATGTTAGAGATGATGTTTCAGTCATACTGGCTTTGACCTATTTGTGAGGAAATTGAGGTTATGTCCAAGACTGAAAAGACTCCACCCAAGCCAAATTTGAATATAATATTCTATAATACCCTGAGAATCCAATTTAAACGATGACCATAAATTTGTGTAATTTGTCCAAACATTTCAAAGCTACACAGAGAACTACAAAGTAATACTAATGCACTAAATGATAAAGCTTTTCCATATTCATCATTGACTTTCTGCAGGCTCCCACATCATAGGCTATATGTCAGCCTTCTGACCCCTCAATCTCTGTAGCCATATCTGCCCTAGTTTTTCTCTCTATTCTCAGGCTGTGCACTGTTTCCACTGGAATCTGACACCAGATTGGGGGTATGGGATTAGATTCCTCTGGTTGATGTCATGCCATCCCCCATCTGGGAAAACCAAGTCTGCAATCTTTGAGTTCACAATAGGTTATTTGGAGATAAGAGTCCGAATAAGTGAAAATGTTTACTGTAAATGCGAAGGGATAGTTTTGCAATTCCTTTTTCTTTGATAGTTTCCTGCAATATTTTTCCCGTGTATGTGACTGAAATGTTTTAAATATCCTTGCTTTAGAAGAATGTGAAAATTAAATTCTTGCTCTCCTGTTTAAAACTATGCACCTTTAATCTGGTTAATCTGCATAGATGTAGCTGTAGAAATCCGTGTGGGTGGATCAGCCACAACATTAAAACCATCTGCCTAATATTTTTGGTTCTTCCTGTACTTCTGAAGGAGATCTAATTATTTAGGGCATGAATAAGTGACCTTTAGGGGTATCCTGTGGTGCTGGCACCAGAACATTGACAGCTGAACCTTTGGGTCATGTGTGTTGAGGAGTGGAGTCTCTGGTTTGTTTTGGTACACCTTGTGGATGGTCAGTTGGATTGGATTTGGGATTGTTGGAGGTTGAGGAGACTGGGCTCTGCTCTTGAGTAATTTTTGAGATTTGTCTATACACATACATAGACACAGCTGCCATTAGGCCACCCACTGGTTTGTGAAGTCCAGCTTTTAAGCCTCAAGCCGAGCATTTTGGCCTTGGTGTGTTAGCTCAGATCTAACTTAAAAAACAAGGGGCATACAGGGGCACCATGTCACCCACAAGTTAGGCCCTCTTTAAAGCAGCGGTCCCCAACCTTTTTTGCACCGTGGAGTGGTTTAATGTCCGACAAAATTTTCACGGACTGGTGATTAAGGTGTCGCGGATAAATAGAACTAAATAAAATGATACGACCAAGACAAACACTGTGGTATTTTGTAAATATAATAGTAAATGCGAATTCACTGTGTAATTGTGTAACTTTATTAGCAGCGTCCTCCTGAAATGCGCCAACAACACTGAGAGTAACATCCTCCTCTCTGCCCCTTAATGCTCTCTGGTCACTATGGTAACGCGTAAATATTTCTTTCAAAATAAGACACACAACTACAACACGGGAAAAGACCCAGTTAACCATAAAACCCCCCCCCCGAAAACCAAAAATTTCAGCCTCAACTCTTCCATCTGGGGGTGAGGGGAGGAAAACAGGACAAAAGACACACTGTGGAAGAGAGTCAGAGATTAATAATAACTAGTGATTAAATGCAAAGTTTTTTATTAACACACACACAGTGAAAAGAGCTGAGTGAAGAAGAAACATTCAGTGCATCATGGGAAGTGGGAAATGCATTGGCTTCACCTCTCACACACGGAAGCCATGTCCTTCTTTTATATACAGTCTATGGTCACATTGTACAGCTGTGTGAGGTTGGTGCTGTTGGAGCATCATTCCCATTGGTGGGTGGGGTGCAACAGTGTTTAAGTGGGTGCTGCATATCAAAGTAAAATCAACTGCAATGCTCAGTGTTTTTTAATGCTGGGGCTGATCATTGTCTCTGTATTGCATTCTTATTATGGAGTGTTTTAATGTGGAATTATTTCCTTTATTCAGAAGTTTTTAAATGTTAGCATACAGAGATGTTACAAACGGGGAAAACTCTTCAGGCCTGAGACGTATAGAGACATAGAGCTCATAGGCCAGAAACTCTTGAGCATCCCTGCAGACCATCTATATCCTATGAGAGAAAAAAGAAGTCGATGAACTCCTGACATGATAGATTGAAAAGAGACTGCTTAATTGGGACTGCAATGCCAAACCAGCAAAACTAGGACACTGCAAGTGATTGAAAGTGAGTGCAAGTCAGCTGGAGCGACCTTATAACATACACTTTTAATTAATTATCACATTTCTGCAGAACAGAGATCGACATATTCTGACCACAGGACCTCTGAATCCCACAGACTGTATCCCAATCTTTAGATAAACAACGAAACAATATGTCTGTCTTACCGACCAACAGTATAACATTTTGTTATTATTTGTGCAATTTAATGTAAGTGTCTAAAATGCTCTTCTAGCTGTGCGGTCGTACATACTGCATGCAGCTAAAGCAGACTTAAAGGTCACTCACAACTGCCTTAAGCAGAAACATCTTGTTTGAGGAATAAACAGCAGACACTGAGTTTTGTGGACTGCCGGTTAAATAGCTTGTTTATCATATATTTTTTCCTCGAAAAGCAGAGGTGGACAGGTGCTGCACTCTGTTCAGCCCGTCCCCTGTAACACTGAATCAAAGGGACATCGTTGTCATCTGCCATAACATCATCGTTTTGGTTCCTGTGAATCATGGAAACACACAGTAGTTAGAGAATACCAGCCAGGACGGCCTTGCACCCTTGAAGTTATGTCCTTTGTGTGTGCTCACGTGCACATTCACAGTATCATTGTTCATGTTTTTAAAGTGTTTTTAGCTTTTAAACCAGAGCAAGGTGACATGAAAATTCCTCTCCAGAAATCGCAGTTACCCTGCAGCCACATCTCCTTTCATCTGCTAATATTCATGCAATTATCAGCGTCAGCAGCTCTCTATGAGCATTAGCAGTACCAGCATGCATACATTCATTTCTGTTTCCAGTCGGGCTTTGGGAGTGTCAGAGGACGACCTTTATATCCGTGGCGGCTCCTTTGTCTTCCTTTGCCTGATAAAATTCACCAGTTAACCGGTTTCCTGCTTTTGTTCCTCTGACCGTGAACTTTTGTTTGGGTCAGTGTTTAAGGTGTGGTGCATTGTTGAACACTGCCAGACCACCAACAAAGAGCAGAAATGAGAAAGAGCAGCAGAAATCCCCCTTGTGCTGTGTTCCAGTCTGCTAGGATGCAAGCATTTTTGCATTGACAAATACTGACATTTAAAAAAGTTACAGTTGCTTAAATGGGCCCCTAACTCCAAAAATCCTGGTTTTAAATTTCTCAAGATCTTGCATGTGATCTGCTTATTAGCAGCAGTTGACTATTTCACAATAGTCAAACGAAGACAGTTATAATATGCTTAACGCTTAAATAACTTACACAGTAAAGACTTTTCAAAGTTGGCTGATCACCTTCAGCCTCTCACGGTCATACTAGACCAAGTTTATGCTGCACTACCAAAACCTTTGAGTGTACTGATCCCATTAATCTGACATTTTATTGATAAATTGCTATTTTAAGTTTTTCACTGAAATTCAAAACACCAAGCTAAAGGTGCAAAAATGCATTCACACTGCGTGTGGAGAATGTATTCACGAGCGGCATTTTCTGCACGGCTATTGTCTCTAGAAATCTGACAGATTATGATGTCATTTATGTAACTGCAGCGCTCACAAAAGGAGCCCTGGCTACTGGCAGTAGTGAAATTGCAGCTTGACCGACTGAGTGGTGTCTGCCGTGCCACTGACCCACTGCAGGGATGAGCGCAGTGTGCAGATTGCAGAGCAGCTTACTGTTCTGCGTGATTTAATAGCGCCCCTGCCCAGACTGTTTCATTAGGTAGGGCCTGCGGCGTAATGAACTGTCCCTCCCTGCGGTCCAGATGGTCTCAGATCAATTGGTGGATGCATCCACATTACAGTCTGGTCCATATCTAGCTTCTCTTCGGTTAAAACGTGGTTTGTGCTTGTAATTTAAGAGATAACTGCAAATGACAATGAGCAGTGTTACTCTGCTTAACGTAACCAATAAACTATGACAGTTTAAGGACGTGAAACATGACCACACTATGTGAGAAGAACTTGGACACAAATCCCTAAAAAACTATGTGGGCTGGAGGCTCGTATTCTGCTCCTTAATGTTTTTCTCACATATTTTTATATTTTAAGATTCAAATCTTTTCATTGTGCGGCATTTTTTCACATCTCAAAAGACGTGTTTTGCTCTGAAAGCGCTGAACAAAGATTGCAAGTTTTGTGAGAAGTTCCCTCACAACAATAAATGTAGTGGCTTTATGTCATGTTATAGAATATATAGTATCATGTTGTGTGATATATGGTCGCCTTGACTGCGTATTCTGTGTGTTAAGCATCTGATGTGAGGAATCCACAATGAACTGGACTGACAGAAATTGTCTGTAATCCAGAGTTCATAATCCAGGGATTACTGTGTTTGCAGCTGGCATGGCATCAGCAGGCATTCCTCCTGCGGGGCGAGACCCCTCCCCCACCCCTGCCCTAAAACCAGCCTGGGTGTGGGTTTGGTGGGTAGGTTTGAGAGGGGGGTTTGGGGATTGGAGGACTCTTAATTTTGTGGCGTTTTCACTTTAAATCAGACTTCGTTTTTAATCAACTATGTTCCATGAAGTCATATTCGAAATAAATAAATAAATCACGTAACCTGTTTTGACACGTTTTCCCTTTCAGTCCTAAAAGATACATCATATTATAGTATTTTATTATTGATCTGAACCCATACTGATAAATCCATAAGCAAAAGACTCATAGAGTAGATAGTCCAATCAACTGATGTTCAATCAAACACTGCTAACATAATCCAGTGGATATTAGTCTCTCTCTCGCTCTAATCTCATGCAGTAGAGTCGAATCATTCACAACGGTTTTAATTAGTTAGTAGCGCTCATAGTTTGCAACATTTTATGCAATTAAACAGATCAAAATCCAACTTAACGTTAAATCCGCCAAATCTTCTTTTGACATTTTTTCTGTCCATTTAATTGCTTATTATAGTTATAATATTAATAGTTATATCCATATGAGCCACCCTTTATTGTAGTTCTCTGTCTAGTAGCAGTGTGCAGGCTGTTGTTAGAGGGCTGAACATTTAATGAGTTAGCAGGGTAATTATCTGCAGCTTTTTTTGTTTTGCCTCATCACATAGACACTAACGTTCACATCATTGTGCTGGGATCAGGGATGTCGCGGTGGCCGTCGTTCTATTTTCTGACTTTTTAAAGAGTAAACGATTCAAAAGTCATCGACAGATTATTCGGTAATGAAAGTTATCTATCGTTCAAACCCTGCTGTGTAACGAGGCACAAGGTGCAGAAGGATTCTGTGCAAGGAGAGACCTCCATCGTTTAATCTCCTGTTGTGGGCACTGCTGAGCACACGCTAATACATGCTTATCTGTCACTGTAAACAATTACTTTTGGAATCCACAGCTCTCATCACAATAAATGGGATGAAGATGATCCCTTACAATCGTTTTCTTTTTTTTAAAATTTTGATAGCTGCGTTAAAATTAACCTCTAAGTGTTGGATGCTTGCAGGGCTCAAAAACATCCATCCAGTTATTACAGCTGGAATTTGGATTTGCATAAGTGCAACTGCAGGAAATTGTGTTTATGAATATTCTCATGTGTGTGTTTGTGTTCAGGTGCCCGTGGCTGGCTCTGACCATCTGCCCTGCGGTGCCGCCATGCTGTGCCGTCCTTTTCCTTTTCGTGCTGGCCAACTTTACCATGGCAACCTTTATGGATGCCGGCGTGCTCCCAGTGGGTTAGTAATCAAAGCAAAGGGGTCATGTTTATTATGTTTACAGCAGACTCGATCACTAGTTTATTTGGGAGGTTTTTTTTAGCAACTCCACATCTTGTTTCCCAGCCAGCGAGGATGAAGACAAGGATGATGAGTTCCGCGCTCCGCTGTACAAGAACGTGAACGTGAAGGGCGTCCAGGTGCGGATGAAGTGGTGCGCGTCCTGCCATTTCTACAGACCTCCACGCTGCTCCCACTGCAGCATCTGTGATCACTGTGTGGAGGTGAGCGGAAGAAAAACTAGATGATTGAGAGGGTAAAAAACCAAAAAACACAAAAACAAATGCGGTGGGAAATTGAAATGGAGGAATTGTGTGATAAGGGTGTGGAAGGCACGGAGGGACAGATCAAGAGGGAAAATGAGTTGTTGCTTCTGAGTGAGTGTAGCAGTGTGTCGGGAGGAAAGTCAATAAGGGGGATTTCTGCAGGGTGAATGATGGCCAGAGGGTGTTGGAGAGAGAGAGGGAGAGATCTCATTAATCAGGTTAATCCTTTCCTCAGATCCTTTGTGGACTCAGTAGAAATACAATTTGAAAAACGGGCTCAGACAGCATCTACTGAAAAGTATGTGTTTACAAAGCACAGCAGGTATTACTGTTCTATAGCTGCCTTTTTTATTTTTTCTCTCATTTTCTGTGTTTTTATTGTGCTGTGAGCTTTGTGTCTTTATATTTCTGTTGTGTAGCTCGTGTTTTATAGAATTTTCGGTGTACTTGTGTGCTTTTTGCATTTTAAAGGCCCTGTTTTGAATCAGCATCGCAAATTAGCTTAAGCCATAAATGCTGCAGTATGGGATACTGTTTCATGCTACATACATACAAACTGTTCTACACCATACCAGCGAAAAACTGATTTTTAGTATTTTTCCCCCTTTCTCAATCTTTCAGGACTTTGATCATCACTGTCCCTGGGTGAACAACTGCATCGGGAGGCGAAACTACCGCTACTTCTTTCTGTTTCTCTTGTCACTGACTTTTCACATGATTGGTGTCTTCACTTTTGGCCTCATATACGTGCTGCACCACATGGATGAATTATGGAAGCTGCACTGCACTGTCACGTATCCTTATGCACACTCAATATATGTGTGCAGCTATCTTTGCTTGCATATTTTGACTATTTTGTCTAACTGATTCTAACTAGAAGTAGTTTTCCTTATCATTGCTTTTTCCAGTTTGGTAGTGATCAGTATATCGGGGCTGTTTCTGATCCCTGTCCTCGGTCTCACTGGATTCCACTTGTATCTGGTATCCAGAGGACGAACCACCAATGAACAAGTCAGTTTTTTCCATACATGTACATTACTGTTGGGAACATAGAAGCATATGAATGAAACTGAAGGACTTAATGATGTTGTATTGTACAATTCTGTGCAAAAGTCATTTACTTCCAAGGAGCCAGAATTTTAATTTTTAAAGTTGTCTTGAGCAATAGTTCTCCATGTTTTCTGAAGGTCTTTCAAACTTTTCCTTTGGACAAGGGCTGATTGTCTTCAATTATTTTCAGTCCAGGGCTTTTAACTGACTATTTCCAGAGGAATGTTTCTTTTAAAAAATATTGTTAAGCCACTAAACAATGACCTATAAATTGTCCAAGTGTAAAAAAGCACCTAACTATCTACATAAGACAGACAACTTGGCAAAGAATCAGTTTTAAACTGTATCTGTGCTTTGTAACTAGCAGCTTGTGGCAAGTGCACATCATTTGTTCCCATTTCTTTAGCCGAGTCTATGAAAAATGCCAAAGATAACACAGTTTGACAAGCATAAAATAGTATAGAAGTACAGAAGAGGCAAGTCTAAAAACTACTTACAGCAGATGGAGTATTAAGTATCATAAAGTCAGGTCCGTATGAAATAGGTGAAAATATAGCAAAGCACTGACACAGGACCTGAGAGATGCATCTGACCCTTCAGCTGATCCATTTGCTGTTCACTGAAGCCTCATCAGAAATGGTCTCAGTGCAAGGCTGGCTGTCAAGAAGCCATTCTTAAGGAAGAGAAACAAGGTGAAAAGGCTGAGGTATGCCAAATTACACAAGAACTAGACTAGAAATCAGTGGCTGATGGAGTGATGAATCCACATGAGAAGTTGTTTAAATTGTCAATATGTGTGGAGGTCAGGAGAGAGGAACAAGACTGAGTGTCTACAGCTGTCTGCAAAACACGGTGGAGGCTCTGTCATGGTTTGGGCTGTATTTCAGTTGCTGGTGTTGGGAATAATCTTTACTGTTCAGCATGACAAAAACACACTGCTATTACTATAAAAGCAAAGCTTGATATAAAAGCACACAACTGAACGCTATCAGTTATGGATCGGCCTCTTCAGTGGACCTCAACATTACTGAAGCAGTGTGGGATCATGTTGACAGAGAGCAGAACAAAAGACAGAATCAGCTTTGATGTCCTTCAGAGTCCTGGGGAACTATTACTGAAGACTGTGCTTCCATGTAGGTTTGCACATTTCAATAAATCGCTGCACCTATTTCCCATTTTCATAGCAAAATGTATGACTTTTGCACAGTACTGTATGTATACACGTAAAAACTCTAATATACTTCCTCATATTTTCACAGGTAACTGGAAAGTTTCAGGGAGGAGTAAACCCTTTTACACGTGGCTGCTGTAACAACTTGGAGCATCTAGTTTGCAGTCCCATTTCTCCAAAGTAAGAAACGTTCTCCTCCTACATCTTCTGCTTAATTTAAACCTTTAATCTAACTTTTTTTTGCTGTCTGTCTTTGTCCTGGGACACCAGGTACACAGCAAGGCCCTGTAGGAAAGCAGTCATCCACATTCAGCCTCCGTTTTTGAGGCCAGAAATTGAAAGGCAGATGCCAGTGAAAGTCAGAGGCAACGGGATACAGTGTCTCCAGAATAAGGTAAGCACGAAGAGCTTAATATTTTCACACACTTGTCAAGTGATATATGATGTATGAGCTATATCTCTCATGTCTCTGGCTTTTTTTTTCTTCTGCCAGCAAACCTCAACCGGAGCTGTCAAGCTGTCAGACATCAAACAACCGAAAACTCCACCGCCGCTGCCTCCGAAACCAGACCACGGTCTGTTGAAGAGCCAAGTAGCTGCCATGGATGGTAATTTAAAATGACACATATGCTTATATCCTGTGATAAGCATGCATCTGTAAAGTGAAGCGGCCACATTTTTTGTAACATTTTTTTTAATTAAGTAAGAGAAAAGAGGGACACTTTGAGGACTTAATTATAATTTGATAAATAAACATGTACTGTTGGATTGTGGGCTCATACTCTTCTTCCTGTGCAAACTGCAATGATTACTGCACCAAATGTGCAATAATTACATCTTAAAAGTTTTTTTTTGATCAAGTCTTTTTTAAAAAGATACATCTTCTGTTATTGGAAGTACTTTTGGTTTTCGAAATCGGTAAAATGGAAACTTGTGACCCACTTTTCATAGGTTTCCATCTATATTATCTATCAGAGGGCTTTTGGCGTGTGTGCTTTAGAGAGATTATGGAAAGTATTTAGAGACAAACTAATGCACTGTTGGTTTGTTTTTTATTTTTTTCCATGGGATTTGTTGATGATGAAAAACCAAGAACTCCTTTAAGCCATCTTTGCTCAGATGCATTGGCGGTTTTATTCCATACGTTTGCTGTTGCATGCCATTAATCTGAAGCTGACTTCTTTTTTAGATCCGGGGCATCATAATAAAACCGTCCTTCCTGCATCTATTCCCACCGTGCCACAGCTACGACCTGTCCTTGAGGCTATATCCAGAGGATCATCGCCTGTTCCTCCAGAACAGGTGACTTTCAGAGTTTATTCCATAGTATATAAGTTTTGGTTTTGATTTGTGTCTGAAAGACTCTGCTGTCTGTTTTGTATTGTTGTGCTTAAGTTGCTGAAGACGTCAGATCAGCAAGGGAGCAACAAAGGTCCTGACCTCCACTCTGAGTCTAAAGGAAGCCCTGTGAGATGCAGCCAACAGGCCAGCCTGCCTGTCCAGCCTTCCCTCCAGACCAGCGCTGTCTCCAGCTCGCTGCAGCTCAACTCTCTGCCGCTGAACTCCCGTTCTCTCACCCTGAAACACACCAGTCGCAGTGGCAGCAAATCCCAGCTGCCAGCCATGCATGCTGACAATTTGGAATCCAGTCCCCGGCCTGGCATCCTGTCCTCTTCCAGCCTGCTGGCCAACCACAACACCAGCAGCAGCAGCATCTCCTATGATAATGTCATTCCTGCAGACCCTCAGGCCATGGCTCAGAGAGGGGCCCCTCCAGTCAGCTACCCCCATCACTTTATGACCCTGGGCACAGACGGGAACCTGCAGCGGTCGCATCCTCGCACATACAGTCCCGTGTTTATGGGCATCAGCAGACAGTCTCCTCAGCCTCGAGATCCCTCACCTTCTTTGCAGGGTCTAACCTCCAGGGATGCCTCGCCTTCTTTCCAAGGTTTTATTCAAAGAGTCCCTTCTCCTGCTTTCCAAGGGCTGTTGCCAAGAGACCTTGCATCCCAAAGCGTAATGTCGCGAGATGTCCCACCTTTGGGTTTGGCGATGCGAGATGCTGCTTCTCAGAGTCCTCGAGGTAGTCTTCGGGATCTCATTCCTCCAGACATGACACCTCCGCTGTCTGCTGCTGCGCGCTATGATAACTTTTCAAAAGCCATCATGGCTTCTATTCATGAGAGACGGGAGCTGGAGGAGCGGGAGAGGATGCTCCGTCGCCAGGTGAGGACCCAGGCGCTGTTCAGCCCTGATATGGGGATCTATGACATCCCAAGCAGGAGAAGTTTACCACCGGACAACATTCGACCTCCGGGCTCCCGGGGACCAACTCCGCCAGCCTACGGCTCCAGGGAGTTTCTCATGAGTACGGGCGTCCTAGGTTACAACATCAGGACCTCACCTCTCTCCAGCTCGTCAACATCTTCTCTCACACATGGTCCAAAAACCTCCAGCTCTCCTCTGCAGAATAGCAGCAGCAGCCTACAAAGCAGGGGCAGGTCTTCCTCTCCGGCCTGTTACCCTCCCGAGAGGTCGGCCCCAGGCTTCCCTTCCTCTACGTCCACCCCGCCCCGCTTTTCCTCTTCCTCAACCTCCTCTGCCCCCCTGTACGCCTCCTATGCCAACACGAAACGTTCCTCTCTCCCATACTCCGGCGAGGCGAAAGACTCTGTCACTTTGGGAGCCCTGAAATGAAAAAAGAAAAGAAGAAAAGAGTCATGTTTCTGGTGGTGTGAATGACTCATCTATGCAGCGTTAGTCTCAGTCTTCACAGCTCCGCAGCGTGTAAATAAGAAGCCATTTGGGACTTCCCTTTGTAGGAGGGTGTGGGACAAATAGATACACAATGATGGATACACATAGAAGCTATATTCTTGGAAGGTCATGTAAGTTTGAACAAAAAAAACAACAACAACCCTGTGAATCTCAGGATAGCTGTGCCTCCTCTTACAGACAGAGGGAGCTCTATAAACTCAGAAGAGCTTTGTGAAGAATACAGATTAACTTATTTGTTTGTATGTCATTTGATAATACTTTTGTGAAACAGTGTAACAATACACTTTGCCTCCTCCTGAACAACAAAAAAAGAAAACTCCCTGTTTAGTAGAATTTTGTAGCTGTTTATATGAATAAACCTATTTTGTAATTTCCACTTATGTTATTTATTTGTGATGTGAATTGCCACTAAAACACCATCCAGGGTTCCAGCAGTTCATTCAGTATAAAGGGTCTCACAATAATATTTTGCTATAAATTATAAAATTCTTCTATAATACCAAAAACAAAACAAAACTGGATATACTCATAGGAACCTATAAAATGAGCAGTTGTGTCTCTACTGCCAGCCATGTTTGGGCCAATCGAAACTCTGATATGACTGCGACACATCACGTCACAAGCAAAATAACAGTATTTCCAGCAGGACGTGAGAATAAAGTGCTTTACCTCCCTTCTATGTAAAGTTTAACCACACCTGCTATAAATGAAAGCCTGCAGAGTGTGTAATAAAACTGAAAAAGGCAAAATAAATAAAGATAATAATAATAAAAAACCTCAGGCTTTAATAGAAATTGCTAGAACATATATTTGTTTAGCAATGATGATAATACAAGTGGATAAAAATATTTATATCATGAGTCCGTAAGGAGTGCGATAAGTATATTAGGGTAGTGGCTCCATACTGCCACTCTCTGCACCAAATTTGTGCACGGCACCCTCTAGTGAACAATTTCAGAAGGAGGCATAATGTTCAGCTAGAGCAGCATGATCCAGCAGATGATGCAGTTTTGGGTAAAATGCCAGAAAACAGCATGATGATGTCTATGTCAGGGGCTACGAGTAATGGAAAAGACCATAGGAGGCTCTAGCTCAAATGCAGTTTTATTACATAGTACGAGTGGGTCACATTAAGTTAATTAGAAAGAAAAAAGAAATGTCACCAAGACTTCATTCATCTACAAGAGGTGGTGTTAATGCTTCACAAGCATCAGATGAAGAATCAAGTGACAGATTTTTCTATTTTTTTCTGCTTCCGACAGCTTAAACGGGTCCGTTCTTCTGGTCGACCTTCAGCGTCAGAGCAAACTTATGACTAATTCAGTGTTTCTGGCAGAAATATTTCTGATAACAGGAACTTTTACTACGTCGAGCCCGGATAGACTGTCTTTGTTTAGGCAATAAATGACAAGATTCAACGCTCTGAGGCCAAGTTTTCAGGTGAGTTATTGTTGCGTTTGACCTCAGGGCGGACAGAAGCGCAAAGATGACAGAAAGTCTTGAAAGGCCTGAATGATTTAAAGTGCTGGCAGGAACTTCCAGCACTGCTGACAGATCTCTCACCAGTGTGGTAAATTCAAAAAAGCTCACGCTTCGCAGCTTAGTTAAAGACCTGACAACAAAAGACGTGAAACATGACACATACACACACAAAAAGGAAGCCTCTCCATTACGGTGCCAGAGTGCAACAATTAAAATGTAAACAACATTGTTAGGCAGTCATCAGAGTGCTTGTTATTGGCAAAAATGTCTAACACGTTTACAGATTGCATTACACAGCCTTTTCTGTGAAGACTGTGAAGATGACAGTGAGAAACTCAGAGGGGGGAGGATGACAGACAATGTCGGGACCTTAAAAGCAATGCGAGAATCCAGGAGGAATGTGAATAAGCTGCAAATTATACGAGTCACTGACATATTCTTGTCAAGGAGCTGCGAACCAGTGCTCCATGCCACTTTTTAGAAGTGCGCTTTTATTTATTTGCAGTAGCAACAAATGTGCAGCAGTGAAACGTTGCAAAGCCCAACACTACAGTCGTAAAAAGCCATAAAAGACTCAATCAGGTCAATCGTGACGAGGCATTTCCAATTCCTCTTTAAAAGCCTTTCCAGCTTAAATGTAAAAGGATCGGGTTATTAAATATCACTTTTTTAAGATAACAGGCACATTTCTTCTCTAAAGCTCTGATTCGGGTTTATACTTGCTGTTTCCTTGGCTACTAATATAAGAGCTAGTAGGCAGCGCTCTTTTAATATGTAAACACTGAGCTGGCTAAAGTTTAAAAAGGTGAAGCTTCAGAGTATGTAAAGTAAAACAACCCAGTGAGGACTGGTTGGATGTGTAGCAGTAGGAAAAAAAGAGCTTCCTTGGCAGCACCTCAAAGCAGTTAAAGATGCAGACATGATCAAGACGACCTGCTGAAGTTCAAACAGAGCATCAGAATGAGGAAGAAATATGGTTTAAGTGATTTTGAACATAGCATAGTTGTTGATGTCAGACGGGCTGGTGTGAGTGTTTCAGATTTTCACCACACAACCACCTCTAGGGTTTACAGAGAATGATCTGAAAAAGAGAAAATATCCAGCGAGCAGCAGTCCTCTGGGTGAAAATGTCTTGCTGATAGCAGAGGAAAACGATCAGACTGCTTTGAGCCGTAAGGAAGGGAGCAGTAAATCAGGCAACCACGTGTTACAATCACAGCATGCAGAAGAGCATCTCTTGAAGCATCTTGAAGGCTACAGCAAGCAAAGACCACACAGATCCCACTGATGTCAGCTAAGAACAGGAAACAGAGGCTACAATTTGCGCCGGTTCACCAAAATTGGACAATTGTTCAGCTAAGACTTGGTTTCTGCTGTGATATTTGGATCATAGGGCCAGAATCTGGTGTAAACAACATCAAAGCATGGATCCATCCTGCCTTGTATCAACAACACAAATTTCAGGTTGCTGGTGGCGTAATGGTACGGAGGATAGTTTCTTGTAACACTTTGGGCCCAACTGAGCCTCGTTTTAATGCCATGCAAAGCCTACCTGAGTGTTGTTGCTGACCACGTCCATCCTTTTATGACAACAGTTGGTTGAGGAATGTTTTTAGCACCTTGTTGAATCGGTCCCATGAAAAATTAGCCAAAAAGTAAGGTACAAGTTGTACCTAATAAAGTGGCCAGTGAGTGTAGACTTTAATTGGATAATGTCAAGATTTTTAAAATGACAGTAATTGAGTTGCTGCCTTGTCTGTTCCACTCGGCAGATGTAGGCTGTGATGCATAGTTTTGTTTGCCAAATGCAAAGAAGATGAAAAAGAAAACAAATAAAATTTTTGTGGCTGAATTGAGATTTTTCTTTCTACTCTGGACAGATGTCGTTATGAAAATGTCTGGGAAACAGCGTGGGCAAACATCACATGTTTTTAAAAAATAAGACAGCTCAGCGCTGAGACGGATGCCACGGGCTTAAAAGGGAGAAAACGTTTCTGTTTCTGCTCCATTGAAACTTAAAACAATGGCATCAATCAACACACGAACAAATCTCGGCGACGATTTTCACACTTGGTCAGGTTTTCTTCTTAAGGGTGGTTTAATTTAAAGCGCTAATGCCTTGTACTTGTTCAAATGTACATCAGGGACACAATGAAGCATCACAATCCCATTGTGACAGATGAGCACACAACACAGTAGCAGAAACCCACACATCACATCACATGCATGTGCTATGCATTTCATTTGAGGCTACATATCCAGAAGCATACATCATTCTTGTGGTTTTCATATTTTCCACTTTTCACCCTTTCGACTTCAAATCTTACTCATGCGTGTGCTGTAGAAATCACTCACTTTAATGAAATGCATTTGGATGCCATGATGTGATGTTTTTTCCTCCTTTGCTTTGTTGTTTTCTTGCTGTCTCGCCCTCCTCCCCCGTCTCCCCATCTCCAGCCTCCTTTTTTTTTTCTAGCCGGGGGTAAAGTGATAATGACGGTAATGACAGGGATGCTGTGCAAAGACGGGATTGCAGGTTGTTGAGTTAGAGGAAAGGGATCAAAAGTATTCTGTGCAGGCTGTGTTGTCTGGAAAGCCCTCCATCTTACATCATGCTATTTTTTTACCGTCCATTACAAACATGTCTGTCTAATCTACATGGTCTCAGCTTTAATCTCAAAGTGCGAAACTATTGCAGCTTGGTTGCTGTGCAAAAAAAATAAAAACATAAACCCCAAATATGCATGCTGGCGGATTTAAATGACACATCCAACTTTAAACAGTCATTAAAGGGTTTGTGTGCGCATTGAAAGAGTTATTTGTTTCTGTAATTGTTTCCCCCGTAGAGTGAAGAGACGCACAACCCACCACGCCGGGTTTTTGAGCGCAGGCTTTTTCTCCTTTGTGCTTCCTCGGCTTTCTTATCAGAAATGTTTTGGTCTTATTTTTGTGTCAGTCAAAGCAGCAGTAGCTTCACTTTTTAGTGTCCCGAGCACCGCTTCTGTGTTAATCAAAAGAAAAACCCTAATTATATAACAATTAATATTCAGTACTTAAACTATTGAGCTGTACTCTGTAATATATGCTAATATACGCTTATATGCTGCTGGTCTTCTTACATACATGTTATGGGGACTCGTGCTAACCTCTTTACATGATCTGATTTGATCCCAATCAATCCGGAAGTCGCCTAAATCTTTGAGGAAACTTCTTCAATTGCAGCTGACTGACCTACATTCGTGCCAATGACTGTGGAGCTGTATCTTCCTCCCTCTCTCTCTATTTCTTTCCACCTCATTGATATGCCTGATGATCAGAGGCATCGCTGAACTAGCTGATTGTCATTTTCAGCTGCAGTGGCACTGATGCATTTCATTTCCCTCCCCGGGCTCTCTGTTGGTGTGATTAAGAAGTCGCTGCAGTGACACTCGACAAGGAGGATTTGGATTAATAGCAGCACTTGCTCTTTTTCTTTGTCAGACGGGGGCACATTTTATAATATTTACATTATTTATAAAGTCACTGGGAAGGGGATGCCACGTAGCACCGCTTGAAGCAAAGTTGCTCTCCGTGCAGGTGATGCTGGGAGGCAGCTATTGCTGTTTCTACAGGCTGCCAACGGGGCGCAGCATTTAGTCAAAGTGAAAAGTCAGGACACAAGGTAAAGCTTTGCCATCTATAGTCTGAAGACAGACTCTAAGTCTGACAGGAGCCCCTCTAGAAGCAGCAGGATTTGCACAGCTTTTTTCTTCTTCTTAAGTTTCACTCGCTGAAAATAAATGTGTAGATCATCTTTAAATATTTGAATATGAAAATATGAAAGCTGACCTTTCTCTCCTGGAGCCGAATCGGTGACCTTTTCTGGTATTTCCAGCGTTATTATGCGCTTTGGGTGGCACCACCATCTGAAATATGAGCAGCATTCAACACTGCTGGCACCAATTTCCTGTGCTTTTTTTTTTCTTTTTTGTAAACTCTTATAGATGTTTTGTCTCGGTATTGAAATGAATTAGCCTCAGCTGCACATGCCAGCTGAACAGAGCAGAGGTGGGTAGTGCGGGGGTTTAATTAGGACAGAAGTCTGCGTTGAACGTGCGCCTCTGTGCGGCTGCAGGAAAAGGTTGTGAAATGCCCCGCTGAGCACCAAAGACTGTGTGGGCATTTCATTGCAATTAATGTATCACAATACACAGTGTAATGTAATATGTTTTCTTCTCTGTGGGTGTTTGTCACTAGACCCTTCTTGCTGCACTGTACTGCTCAGCCTCAGTGTGTTTGTGTGTATAGATTATGGGCAGCAATAATTACATTCATCTCTGCCATACTGTAGAACCAATTTAGTAGCCTTCATCACATGCACAGCAGCCACAAACGGCATTATTGAAACTTAAAGGTGGTGTGTGTGACCGCAGAAGTGTGCGTGTGTGTGTTTCAGATGAAGTAATAAACAGTGCAGAACAGGGTTACTATTCACTCTTTACTTTAGAAAACATAGTTTCATGTGCATATTTGTGTAAAGGTGTGGGAAATTAATAAAAGATGTGAGAAAATCTATGAGATGAAGATATTTCCTGGTATAACAGTTGGTCAGAGTCTTGGCAAATGCTCATATATTAAATAGATTCTAAGCACTTAACAATGACCTTAACTGATACTTTGTATTCGCCACAAAGGGTCCCGGCTTTCTGAGTTTCAAGGAAAGTCTTGTAATTCATCAGTTTGTGACAAAAGAATAAATTGCACTTGTTAGACTATTAAACTATCATAAAAGGCGTGAAAAAAAATCGTTAAACCTTGAATCTGTGGAAAGTTTTAACCCTTTCATGTTGCGATTCTCAAAGAGGGACTTGTTTGAATGGCCTGTTTGTGCACAAAGCTGCAAAGGGTAGAATTAAAAAGGTTTCTGATTTGTCATAGTGCAGTGGTAGTGTTATAAAACAATGCAGCTCAGTAGAAACATCTATTTATCTGACCCGAGTATGTAAAATAACGCATTTACCTATAAACACAGATTGCCCCAGTTTTCAGTGATTTGTCTTTGTCTGATAGATGTGCAAACTGGATACAAACTTCTGCATATAGTGCTGGCTGTTGTATTTTTAGCAACGATAGAGTCCAGTTTTACATTCTGTTCCCAATTGCACTCATTGAATAAAGAAATATTGGAGACCATGGAAACAAAGAAGAGAGAAATCTCCTATTTATCTCAGAAAGTCAGTTCTCGTATTTCTAAACAACACAGCAAAATGATGGATTATTTAAACTCTCATAAATGTACTGTAGTCTTGCTATTATGATCTGAGATGTGCTTCAGGTTTAAGAGCAGTGTATCCCTTGGAAACTAAAGTAGAGTCACTGAATACAAAACCACACTGATAGCTGAATTCTTGTCTAGATGCATGGTGCAGTTTTCCACCATGATCCACAGACCCTGAGGGGATACTGCGAGACAGGTTGATGAACGTTAAAATAATGCGGCTGTTATTGCATTAATCAGGGTCACTGAATAAAGAAGTATAAACATAAAACATGGGAAAAAATGCAAAAAGCGTTTGCAAAGTACCAAAGACACATGAATAAATATGGCGAGGGAGGACAGTGTAAATTTAAATCTAGTCCATGGACTAACACAGTATTCAATTTTTATGTATATAAATATATACTTGTGTAAGGCATATGCAATGTTTATGGAAGTCTATGGAAAATTATACTTATAATTTTATTTTAGCACGGCACAATAACCTACTTTTCCCTCCTTTTTTGACTTTTTATTTGCATAATATCTAATATAAATACACTGACCTGTCAATAAAAGTTGTACACTTGAATATTTCATTAGACAGGCTTTAGCTTTCATGGTGGCACACATTCGCTGTGGCATCGTTTCAATTAGCTGATGCAATGTCACAAGCTTGTTTCACCAAGATCTGCCATCGCGATTGGAGAATTGGGCCGCTGTGTAAAGTCTTCTCTAGCACATCCCAGATATTCTCAAATTTCCAATCCTCTGAGTCTCTTCGCTTGGCTGTGACTTCGCTGTGATTTTTACAGTTGACTTTTTACAATTTCAAGATTTTTTTCCAGACCACATCTCTTCTTTGAATCTGCCAAAATGATTCTTCCAAGTTTTAATAATGCACTGATAAGCTCTTAATCCAATATTTAGTTCAGCACCCTCCTTCGATTTTCCATTTACTTGATGCAGGCTAATAATGTGGCCCTCCTGAAATCGAGTAAAATCTTTTTCAACCCACCTGGTATGCATTCAAACATAATTAAATAATCTGTTGTCAGCAATGTATATTAATAACTCCAGTCATTATTCAGTGGTATACTTTCACTTACTTAGTTAAATCCAGGCGGTGGTTTTACCACACAACACAAAACAAACCCACCCATTGATGGGTGGGTTTAAAACCCTTGACGGTACTGTATATCTATTGAATAATAAGTAAAACAATGAATCATCACTCAAATCATGAGATGCAGGATTGTATATTATTAATGCTTTTCAAAAATAATACCAAATAAGTAACAGGAATGGAAACAACACTAGTAAGCTGTTGATTCAGGTTGTGCTTAACTGGTTCACGTCCTCTCTGATTAAATGAAAAATGTTTATTTAAGCAAAAAATGATCAGTCCAAGCTGG